AAGTTAGGGGAGGTATGGGTAGAATAGCAGGTAAAGCAGAAGTTAGGGGAGGTATGGGTAGAATAGCAGGTAAAGCAAAAGTTAGGGGAGGAATGGGTAGAATGGCAAGTAAAGCAGATGTTAGGAGAGGATACGAATGACAAGTGCATGCAGAAATACTTTAGTTAACAGCATTGGTGTTTTCTCTACAGAACATGCCAGCTACGGGTCTGAGGAGTCTTACCTGACAATCAACATGGATCCACTGACCCACCAGTACAAAATTGGGTCACCAATTAATCTGAGGAGCTTCAAGTCATCACCCAAGCGTAACCTCAGCAAAATCCACAGCTTGAGTTCAGTAGGGGTCATCGATGATAAAGGTAGGACAAGAATCACTGACAGCAGATTTAAAAATTCAATGAAAAACTGTAAGGTGTCTAGAGATGAATAAAGTACATATAATCAGAAATGATAAAGGTAATTGACATTATTATATAGTAAATTTGGATGTAAAAAGGTATATTTAGGGATTCAGATGAAAGCCTTAAAAGTGTGATAGAAATCACCAAACCATGCAGCTGTTTTGTAACCTGTTAATATTGTTCTTAAGGATGTCAAGAGTGTTAAGTATGCAACATCACAGTACAGACTGACACGGTGATGTCCTAATGATAGTTTAAAGACAGCCACCACACTTTTGAATGCTCCAAAGAGGAGCAGCACTATGTTGTCCATCTGTTTAAAAGTCAGTGAAGAGGTGAAACCTCTAGAAATGTATCAGCACATGAAGATCCAGCATTGTGATGCATATCAGTTAGTGCAGCATTAGTATGACTGGAGTAGGAAGCTTGAAAACATCTCTGTGGTCATGAAATGGTGTGCCTGACCTGATCATGAACAGTCTGTGACACAAGTCGGGCCATTGGGAAACTTTAGCTTATAACCCCATGATGAAACATGTGTCAGGACAAGAATAAGCAGTAGCTTCCCGTCTGTCACTAATTTGGGTCGTACATTTCAGCAAGTGAGAAAGTAACTGTGATCTGTGTGAAGTGGTTGTCAATGAGCCGTGTTACTATTTGTTTTTTGTCTTTCCACCAGATGATTATATGGACCCCAGGTCACCTTCTTCGACAGCAGAGAAATGTGCTCAAGAACTAAGAAGTGTTTTCTGTCCAGAGCTGGCACTAGCTTGCTATATTCCACTGTGCAGAATTTTTGGAAGGTAATGCCGACATTGTGTAGAAAATCATACAGTATGATAAAGTGTGATCATCCATGCCAGTCAGCAAGGTACTTGATGCTGATGATGGACATTGACTGTTATAATTACATCCATTCACTTTCACATGCATTCACATCATCATCATCTGCCATGGCCATAAGTAGTGGCAATCATAGTTCACCATCTCACAGTCACTAGAATTTGGGATCAGATCTATGTTCCTTCTTGTCCTAGTTATGTCGTTTGGCTAAGATATGTCTTTTTCCACTTTCCCTTTTTTTTCCCCAAAAAATTTCCACCCCCTTGTCGGTATGTTTTCTAGTTTATTTCTTTTCATTGCCTATCAACAGATCTCTCAAATAATAGTTTTAATCTACATCTTGAAGGCTACCTTTTGTATTTGTTCTCTCCATTTATGATATTCTTTGCACTTGACTTAGAGACTATACTGCTGCCGTCAGAAATTTCTCATTTTATTTATATCTATTACTGTTGCTCCTTATATTTTGTTAATTGTGTGCATTTGATGATTACTAAATATTACTTTTTTTTTAAATTTCAGTAATTTGTAAATGTTATTTACTTGGGATATAATGTTTCGGTAATTTGTTTTTTTTTGTGCATTTGTCTGTGATATTTTGATGACTGTTGTATTCTGTTGACTTCCAATCAAAATAGATGATAGGCACAATCACTATTCTTAGTCGTAATTTGTTTGCTTTTGATAGATGGTGGCTGTTGCATTTTCCTCCATTTGTGGACTGAAAGAATATAGTTTTGTCGGCCAGCTACTGAGTTGATTGCATGGCATGACACAGTGAGCTGTGGATTTTATTTGGAAAGTTTTTCAACTGTCACCAACATGGAGCTGTGAACTGTAGATTCAGAAGAGGGTGTGTGGTCTGTTGCCACAGAATTAATGATGCCCTATAAGATTAAAAGTGATCATGTGTGCAACTGCTGATCTGTTTGTAACCACTGCCTCCATCAATGATGAACTACATTTCTCATGTAGGACTGTTTGTGTTAGCACTTCTGATGGTTGCCTTATGCTTTTAATGCGTGTGTATGCTAGTGCATACGCTGAGACGGCAGTCTGTGTCAATTTATCCACAAGGGACAGAGATGGACACTGTGTGTTTTTGATTGGCACAGGAATGGAGCAACTATAGGCTGACCTGTCTGCTTTGAAGTTGAAACTAAGATTACCAAGATTCTCCCTAAATGTGTCCGTGATATGTTAAAGACTGTTGTATTCTCCCTACATGTATCTGTGATATGTTAAAGACTGTTGTATTCTCCCTACATGTGGTAGAGACTGTTGTATTCTTCCTACATGTGGTAGAGACTGTTGTATTCTCCCTACATGGGGTAGAGACTGTTGTATTCTCCCTACCATGGGGTAGAGACTGTTGTATTCTCCCTACATGTGGTAGAGACTGTTGTATTCTTCTTACATGTGTCTTTGATTTATCAGAGACTGTTGTATTCTCCCTACATGTAGTAGAGACTGTTGTATTCTCCCTACATGTGTCTTTGATTTGTCAGAGACTGTTGTATTCTTCCTACATGTGGTAGAGACTGTTGTATTCTCCCTACATGTGGTAGAGACTGTTTTATTCTCCCTACATGTGTCTTTGATTTGTCAGAGACTGTTGTATTCTCCCTACATGTGTCTTTGATTTGTCAGAGACTGTTGTATTCTCCCTACATGTGGTAGAGACTGTTGTATTCTTCCTACATGTGTCTTTGATCTGTCAGAGACTGTTGTATTCTTCCTACATGTGTCTTTGATTTGTCAGAGACTGTTGTATTCTCCCTACATGTGGTAGAGACTGTTGTATTCTCCCTACATGTGTCTTTGATTTGTCAGAGAGTGTTGTATTCTCCCTACATGTGGAAGAGACTGTTGTATTCTTCCTACATGTGGTAGAGACTGTTGAATTCTCCCTACCATGGGGTAGAGACTGTTGTATTCTCCCTACATGTGGAAGAGACTGTTGTATTCTTCCTACACGTGTCTTGGATTTATCAGAGACTGTTGTATTCTCCCTAAATGTGTCTTTGATTTGTCAGAGACTGTTGTATTCTCCCTACATGTGGTAGAGACTGTTGTATTCTTCCTACATGTGGTAGAGACTGTTGTATTCTCCCTACATGTGTCTTTGACTTGTCAGAGACTGTTGTATTCTTCCTACATGTGGTAGAGACTGTTGTATTCTTCCTACATGTGGTAGAGACTGTTGTATTCTCCCTACATGTGGTAGAGACTGTTGTATTCTCCCTACATGTGGTAGAGACTGTTGTATTCTCCCTACATGTGGTAGAGACTGTTGTATTCTCCCTACATGTGGTAGAGACTGTTGTATTCTCCCTACATGTGTCTTTGACTTGTCAGAGACTGTTGTATTCTTCCTACATGAATCTTTGATGTTTCAGTATTCACATGGAGGAGCACCTACACAATGAGGATCTGATTCGTCGCCTCTGTTCTCAGTACGACTCAGAAACAGATCTTGCTGTCCCAGCAGCTCATGAGAGACCTGTCTCATCCATGCCAGCTGCTTACAATACAGGTCAATATCTGTGTCACTCACTGTTGAAGCCAAAGTCATTGTATTGTAGTGTCTAGAAGAGCTGAGGTATTGTAGTGTCTAGAAGAGCTGAGGTATTGTAGTGTCTAGAAGAGCTGAGGTATTGTAGTGTCTAGAAGAGCTGAGGTATTGTAGTGTCTAGAAAAGCTGAGGTATTGTAGTGGTTAGAAAAGCTGAGGTATTGTAGTGGTTAGAAAAGCTGAGGTATTGTAGCGGTTAGAAAAGCTGAGGTATTGTAGTGGTTAGAAAAGCTGAGGTATTGTACTGGTTAGAAAAGCTGAGGTATTGTAGTGTCTAGAAGAGCTGAGGTATTGTAGTGAGGTATTAGAAGAGCTGAGGTGAGGTATTGTAGTGTCTAGAAGAGCTGAGGTATTGTAGTGTCTAGAAGAGCTAGAAAGTGTCTAGAGCTTGTAGTGTCTAGGTTAGAAGAGCTGCTGAGGTATTGTAGTGTGTCTAGAAGAGCTGAGATTGTAAAGAGCTGAGGTATTGTAGTGTCTAGAAAAGCTGAGCTAGAAGAGCTGAGGTATTGTAGGAAGAGCTATTGTAGTGAGTTAGAAATTGTAGCTAGAAGAGTGAGGTATTGTAGTGTGTAGAAGACAGAAAGTAGCTGAGAGCTGATTGTAGTGTCTAGAAGAGCATGAGGTATAGTAGTGTCTAGAAGAAGAGCTGAGGTAAAGTGTCTAGAGAGCTGAGGTATTGTAGTGTCTAGAGAGGTATTGTAGGTTTGTAGTGTCTAGAAGAAGAGCTGAGGTATTGTAGTGTCTAGAAGAGCTGAGGTAGAAGAAGAGCTGTAGGTATTTGTAGTGTCTAGAGAGAGCTGAGGTATTGTAGTGTCTAGAAGAGCTGAGGTATTGTAGTGTCTAGAAGAGCTGAGAAGTGTCTAGAAGAGCTGATATGTAGTGTCTAGGAGGTATTGTAGTGTCTAGAAGAGCTGAGGTATTGTAGTGTCTAGAAGACATGAGGTATTGTAGTGTCTAGAAGAGCTGAGGTATTGTAGTGTCTAGAAGACATGAGGTATTGTAGTGTCTAGAAGACATGAGGTATTGTAGTGTCTAGAAGACATGAGGTATTGTAGTGTCTAGAAGAGCTGAGGTATTGTAGTGGCTAGAAGAGCTGAGGTATTGAAGAGCTGAGGTATTGTAGTGTCTAGAAGAGCTGAGGTATTGTAGTGAGGTATTGAGGTAGTGTGTCTAGAAGAGCTGAGGTATTGTAGTGTCTAGAAGAGCTGAGGTATTGTAGTGTCTAGAAGAAGCTGAGGTATTGTAGTGTAGAAGAGCTGAGGTATTGTAGTGTCTAGAGCTGAGGTATTGTAGTGTCTAGAAGAGCTGAGGTATTGTAGTGGCTAGAAGAGCTGAGGTATTGTAGTGTCTAGAAGAGCTGAGGTATAGAAGAGCTGAGGTATTGTAGTGTCTAGAAGAGCTGAGGTATTGTAGTGTCTAGAAGAGCTGAGGTATTGTAGTGTCTAGAAGAGCTGAGGTATTGTAGTGAAGAGCTGAGGTATTGTAGTGTCTAGAAAAGCTGAGGTATTATTGTGTCTAGTGAGGTATTGTAGTGTCTAGAAGAAGTGTCTAGAAGAGCTGAGGTATTGTAGTGTCTAGAAGAGTTGAGGTATTGTAGTGTCTAGAAGAGCTGAGGTATTGTAGTGTCTAGAAGAGCAGGTAGGTATTGTAGTGGCTAGAAGAGAAGAAGAGCTGAGGTATTGTAGTGTCTAGAAGAGCTGAGGTATTGAGTGTCTTGTAGTGTGTCTAGAAGAGCTGAGGTATTGTAGTGGCTAGAAGTAGCTGAGGTATTGTAGTGTCTAGAAGAGCTGAGGTATTGTAGTGTCTAGAAGAGCTGAGGTAGAGTGTCTAGAAGGTATTGTAGTGCTGAGGTATTTGTAGTGTCTAGAAGAGCTGAGGTATTGTAGTGTCTAGAAGAGCTGAGGTATTGTAGTGTCTAGAAGAGCTGAGGTATTGTAGTGTCTAGAAGAGCTGAGGTATTGTAGTGTCTAGAAGAGCTGAGGTATTGTAGTGTCTAGAAGAGCTGAGGTATTGTAGTGTCTAGAAGAGCTGAGGTATTGTTGTAGTGGGTATAGAAGAAGAGCTGAGGTATTGTAGTGTCTAGAAGAGCTGAGGTATTGTAGTGTCTAGAAGAGCTGAGGTATTGTAGTGTCTAGAAGAGCTGAGGTATTGTAGTGTCTAGAAGAGCTGAGGTATTGTAGTGTCTAGAAGAGCTGAGGTATTGTAGTGTCTAGAAGAGCTGAGGTATTGTAGTGTCTAGATTGTAGTGTCTAGAAAAGCTGAGGTATTGTAGTGTCTAGAAGAGCTGAGGTATTGTAGTGTCTAGAAGAGCTGAGGTATTGTAGTGGCTAGAAGAGCTGAGGTATTGTAGTGGCTAGAAGAGCTGAGGTATTGTAGTGGCTAGAATAGTTGAGGTATTGTAGTGGCTAGAATAGTCGAGGTATTGTAGTGGCTAGAAGTCATGAGGTATTATAGTGGCTAGAAGATTTTTTTTCTTTTAGCTATATTCTTGTTCTTGTGGAAGCTGTTGAGTGTGTCTTTGATAACAGGTTTCATATACAGAAAGCTGTTCAAGACAGTTATGGTTAAGTCAACGTGGAAAGTGAAAATTGTGGTCAGTGTGAACCAGTACAAGTTGTTTAAATTGAGCAAGGGCAGAGTGCGGGTCACACTGACTGACAGCAATGACATGTTTACCAGAGAGCAGGAATAAGTTTGTGTTCTACATCAACTTGACCTAGCAGAGCTAGGACACCTGCTAAATGGCCAGTAAACCACCTGTAGCTTGGGCAGCACAAAAATAAGCTGGAGAATGGGGAACCAGAAAGCAGTTCAGAGCACCCCAGGAGTTAGAGGAGGGGACTTGGCGGCAGTGTCAGGATGGATGGACACTGGGGGACTGCTTGAAATGAAGTGAAGATAGACAGAGATCCCACAGAGAAACACAGCTAGAGACAGACATAGGAGTTTGTTCAGGTCATTTCAGGATCAGTAGATGAGATGAGAGCAGAACTAGAGGAGGAGACTGAGAGCTCGCACAGAGCTGGAAGATCAGAGATTGGTCCTCCAGACCAATCACCGTGAAACACCACACTGCTGTCCAGACACAAAGAGAAACTGCAGCAGATGTCTTAGGGTAATGAAGCAAGAGAGACATGAAGTTAAGACCGATCATCCATCACTGCAAGAGGTATTTTGAACCATGTGTGAATATAGCCCCTTAATTTCCTTTGAAGTCAGAGTAGATCTGCTTGAGAGGTGAGGAACCAACAGTCTGCATACAAGAAAGCCAGATTTGTGAAATGGATGTGCTTACAAAACTCAAGTTATGAAACAAGACTTAAGTCCAATCTAAAGTCCAATAACTTCTCCCCTGAGTTGACAGCCAGTCGATGCTAAGAAAAAGACTAAAAATAACAAGCCATGAGATGTTTTGAAGCCCAGAATAGATCCAGCTAACAATAACTAGATAGCGACTGTGTGCATGCACAACTTGTAACACAGAAAAACTGTCAATAACAACTCTTATCAGTGGAAATGGCCTTTTGTCACCAGTAAATTGTACAGTATGAAACCTATCTTACGATTTTTCCCGCTGTACCCTTGCCTAATCTTGGAGGAGGAGGAGGAGGCTACTGACGAAGGAAACAGAGCACTTGGACGATTGTCTCGAGTGCAATAAGAACTCATTCGTATATTGGCTATAACATATTGATAAAAATAATGGGTTGTTATTGTCTGCCTTATTAGAGGATCTGCTGACACCAACAGAGGAAAGGCCGATCAGTGCTGGTATAGGAAGCAATGTCACACTGGTGGGCAACAGAATCCAGCTGAATCAGCTGACTGAATCCACAGTCTCACACACAACACAGGCTCAGGTTGGACAGTTTGGCCGTGGATACAGGCATTCTGGAATACTGAGCATTCGTTTGGACGACTTGAGATCGTAAGTTTGTGAGTGTATAAGATTTTGTAATGTTTATTTTATACAAATTATTTCTTAAAAGTCCATGCTTTGTTGCAGTGGCAGGCATATATATCCACAGCCTTCTGTCTGGTGTGTTTTGTGTCAGCTCTGGCACAGACAATCCTCTGTGCCCTGATATCACTGTTCAGCATCTTCTCTGGGGTGTCTTTCTTCCCCTCCACCTTTCCCACTGTCAGGATGTGTTCCATTCTTCTCCTTCACATCACTTGACCACAGACAGTTGATTCTTTGAAAATGTTATCATTAATTTGGTAAAATTACCTCAGATAAACAATGACCTCTTGTTAACTCAAATAGTTAATACTTTTATCTCTTTCTGTCTCAGATATTTTTAACTTCAACTCTTTGTTTCTCAGCAAGTTGGTAAACAAAGGTAATCAGTGCGTGGGTATAAAGTAGCTAAACTACTGCTATTGTGAGAGGTCACAACACGGGGGAAGTGTTGGGCTGGAGGAGTGCAAGTTCAGCCATCAGGCAGCCAGTAAACGTGAGGTGAGGTGAGGTAGAGCATGTTACAGGAACGGTAACCCACAGGAGGTGACATCCAAGTCTGGCTCATGCATGTCTTGTTTAGAGCGTGTACCGTGTCCATGTCTAGCTCAGAGCATGGACAGTGTCCATGTCAGAGCATGGATTGTGTGCATGTCCAGCTCAGCGCATGGACTGTGTCTATGTCATTTATTTAAGTCTTTATTGATGACACAATAGAACGTGTCATATATTTGAGCAAGTCTTTGTTGATGACACAACAGAACGTGTCATTTATTTGAGTAAGTGTTTTTTGATGGCACAACAGAACGTGTCATATATTTGAGCAAGTCTTTATTGATGACACAACAGAACGTGTCATTTATTTGAGTAAGTGTTTTTTGATGGCACAACAGAACGTGTCATATATTTGAGCAAGTCTTTATTGATGGCACAACAGAACGTGTCATATATTTGAGCAAGTCTTTGTTGATGACACAACAGAACGTGTCATTTATTTGAGTAAGTGTTTTTTGATGGCACAACAGAACGTGTCATATAATTGAGCAAGTCTTTATTGATGACACAACAGAACGTGTCATTTATTTGAGTAAGTGTTTTTTGATGGCACAACAGAACGTGTCATATATTTGAGCAAGTCTTTATTGATGGCACAACAGAACGTGTCATATATTTGAGCAAGTCTTTATTGATGGCACAACAGAACGTGTCATATATTTGAGCAAGTCTTTATTGATGGCACAACAGAACGTGTCATATATTTGAGCAAGTCTTTATTGATGGCACGAACGTGTCATATATTTGAGCAAGTCTTTATTGATGACACAACAGAACGTGTCATTTATTTGAGTAAGTGTTTTTTGATGGCACAACAGAACGTGTCATATATTTGAGCAAGTCTTTATTGATGGCACAACAGAACGTGTCATATATTTGAGCAAGTCTTTATTGATGACACAACAGAACGTGTCATTTATTTGAGTAAGTGTTTTTTGATGGCACAACAGAACGTGTCATATATTTGAGCAAGTCTTTGTTGATGGCACAACAGAACGTGTCATATATTTGAGCAAGTCTTTATTGATGGCACAACAGAACGTGTCATATATTTGAGCAAGTCTTTATTGATGGCACAGTAGAATATATAAGTCTCAGTTGTCCTTCCTTGTCGCTTCAGTACTGACATGGAGCAGAACAAATCCAGACATCTGAGAGGTCACTGGCTGGCCTACTGGGAGCGGGAACTGGGTATGTTGTTGTTGATTTTCAGCAGTTGCCATGTTTATTTAGTCACCTGTAAACTTGTCTCCCTTGTCTCTCCATTTCCTTCTTTTACATATTTCTAGTTGCCATGTTTTTTGTCCCCGTCAGGCCCAGTCTCATTCCTTTGTGTTTTTACTTGCTCCTAACACTGTGTACATTCCTGTGTTAACATTACATGTTTCTAAATAGAATATGATTGTGTTTGGAGAGAAGAATGCTTAAAAGAGTCAAATGTAACATGGGCCTACCTGTCTAGTTTGTGACCATTTGAAAATAATGTTCATTCATTCGTTCATTATTGCTTCTAATGCTAAATTGGATTCCTAAAACTGGCCTGGCCACAAGTAGACCTTGATTTGTGTTTCATTGTGCTGATCATTGATTTGTATTTCCGTGTGGTATTCATTGGTGGACAGTGTTCATGTGCCATCTAAGGAAATGTAATACTAGAGCTATTCAGTAGATAACTATGTACAGTTGCAATGTTCCTCCCTTGGGCTTCATGCAGGCACCCTGCTCTGGCACACTGACAGATACTTCAGCATTGCCAGCTGCAACCAAACATTGAACGAACGAACAAACTTTATTTTTAAAGGGTTAAGAAGACTAAACTGCTTAAAGCAAGGTTTATTGCTCCAACAATGTTCTTCTTGGTCAATAAGCCAGAGGTTTTATGTCTAGGGTCACAGCTACTCCAGAACAGAAGAAACAACATTCTTTACCTGACCAGAGTTATCAGTTAAAGCACTTGCAACTGTTGGACTTCAGGTCTTGCATTCAAAATCACTCAGACTTGCTGTTTTTCATCTATCCCTGTGTGAAGGGGGGCGGTTTTTCTTGGGAAACAGGTCGGCAGCTTGACCATACATTCTCTTACTTCATGGATACATTCAGTTCACACTCTCAAGTGCCACTGAACCAGACACGGAGGATTAAAAACAAGACTGAGCTTTCATACTTGCTTCCAGTTTAAATAATCCATTGTACTTCTCGTGCACTCAAAAGTTTCACTCAGAGTTTTACGATTTCCTTGTCTGGCACACTTCAGCCTAACAGCACATTTGTCTCAAGTTAGTAGTAACCATTTCTCGTTCACTCATACACTACAATTAGTAATTGATGCCATCGATATAAATTTTGGCACATAATTTATGTTTAGTGTAAATCCTAATTTTTAAACAATGAGAAAATTTACCAGCACTTAGAAAATGAACTCTACAACAGTAAGAGTGATCCTTTTTTAAAAACCAGAAAAAACAACAACCATATGAAAGGAGCCAGTCCCTGAGAAACAGCTGTAACTGTCCAGCTTAACCAGGTTAAGGTAACTAAGTGGTTACATTGGTCATTGATGTATCATCTTCTGAATTCTTAGTGTGAAGATCAGCTTCAGGTGGGTGGGGAGAGGGGGGGAATGCCTACACTGGCTGTGAAAGCTGTTCCTCATAGCACAGCCCCATTGACAGCCATGATTACCTACAGTACTTGACTTTATCTGCAGCAATCTTGAATATCATGCCACATGTGGTTCTTACTGACCCAAGCCACACTGTCTTAGTGAGATTACTCAAACCTTTACCTCCAGCCAAATCACAGTTCACCTCTTTCTTTCCTCATCTGTCTTCCTCTTTTCTCTGTTTTTTTTTCTCTATTGAATGACAAAATATAAACCATTTCTTTTGCTGTAGAAGCCATCCTAAGTGGTTGAGCTATTCGCTGATTGTGACTGTTGACTATTTGTGCTTACAGGGCTCCATGAAAGGGATACCATGTTCAACTTCATGCAGATTGACTTGCAGACATACCTTGGTATGATTTGTCTGTTTCATGTTTTTTTAAATTGCTTGTTGGATTTTAACCATGATTCCCTCCAGTCGAACAGACAAGAGAACTAGCCGCCACACCACCATCTCTCCAGGGTATGTGATGCCGGAGTTTACAGACGTTGAATGTGAAGAAAAAGAAGAAAAAGATAGTTTGTGAACACAAAAAATATTGTGTAGTAAACAGCAATCAGCATTAGTGAAAGACAAGTAGTCCAGAACCATTTTCCTGCCATTGGCTTGTCGGGCATATGTTTGTTAGTCCCACAGTTTTATAGTGCAATGGGTCTCAGTGGGTGATGTGGTCAGAATGCCAGCCGCCTTTACTTCCATGGACATTTCCTGGCTCCAATTTTAGGCTGGGATGACCTAATAAAAAATCTGCCGCAGTATGGACTTGAATCTGAATCCAGCAGGCAGACATCTTGACCACCACCATAACCCCCATTTGGTTCTAAACAGTGAACAGTCAGCTCTTCACTGACGACTTTGTTGAGGCTGAAACGCAGGTACCTATCCCAGGTAAGTCCAGGACCCCTATCAAGAACCTACTTTACTGCCTTGAAGGCATTTGGCTCCGGTTTAGGCTCATGACAAAAATGGTCTGTCCTTAAACACATCTAGATCAACAACGTCCGAGTATACCCACGGGTCTTTATTACAAGTTACAAAAAATAGCAGTACAACAATTGAACTTGGCAACAGTGATCTGCATTACCAACACCCGTTGTACACCTGCCTCTACAGTACCATACCGGCCTTACAGCTACGAACAGGGTCCGAACCCTTACAAGTCCTTTGTTAAGCCTCTGTCACTTACAGAATGACTGCTGTCCTACCTCACGGCTGGTGTGAGCTGACACACTTCATCACTTAACTACACAAAACCCATCGCGAACCACTTTGCTTAAAGCAGTGTTTGAAACACAGATGGATTGCTACTGAAGTCGACACCACAGCTTAACACCGGCTAACACAAGAATTATCCTACCCTCCGACTACACAGATACTGGTTGCTAATCTAATTCTAACACCATAAATCTCTAGCGGTCAGTTACAGTACAAGTCTAGTCTAAAGTCTAAAATGAATTGTCCACAACACTTCTACACCTCTCCTAATCTGTCTCTGAACTGTCTGTCTCCAGTCCTTTTGTCCAGTCTTCACGCTTACTGCCGGTCTGGCAATTATCTCCCCTGGTCCCTGCCTTCTAATGGCCATCTCTCTGAGTCAGTACACACCGGGTCAGGTCGAGGTTATCTGAATGCTACCTTACTGATTTATCATCATCCTTCTGTGACATCCCTTAGACGTACAGGACCCTGACACTCACCCCCTCCTCCTTTTGATACTTCCTGACGAAAGGCAACTCTATATTCGTTATTATTTGCAGTCAAGTATCACACATTAGATGTAAGATGTCAATAAACCTGTCTGCTACTATCTTGTTTGTGAAATAAAATAAAATTATTATTAAAAAAAATAATAAAATAAAAAATTACAACAAAAATAATCATACATAAACAATTAATAAACCACTAAAAACATTTATAAAATGCAACTTTCCCTAATCCTACACTCATTCCTCATGTCACACAGCATGCAGCTTACAACTGTAAAGTTTATATTCATTCACCGTCCTTTTTATAATGCAATTTTTCGTTATTTGAAGCCCCACCCTGGCTCTTGCCAGGGGCCGCAATATAGTCAGGCCATAAATGTGGTCTAATGGCTGAACGCGGTTTCTGGGACCTCTCCACGGCGATCCTCATCCACATGCTTGCACATTGTGTCATCGGGTGTTTATCGCTTGTGTGATGTCCTGGTGGGGTAGAAAGTTTGAGTTATAATTTTTTTCAGACTTGTGTGGTGGAAGGTGGATAACTTTTGTGTATCCTTTTTGGTCATTGTACAGCATTCTGCTCCATAATGAAGAACTGGCAAAATGATGCTCTTGTAGAGTCAGAGTTTTGTTCCTCTGCAGTAACTGTTGGATTTCCAGATTTGCCTCATCCTTTCAAAAGCAGCTCTAGCTTTGTTCAAGTGTGACTGTATGTCTTCCTCGGTCCCTCACAGAAGAGACACCACACTGCCAAGATGTGTGAACTGTTCTACATTTTCAAATGTTTGGTTATATATGGTCACTGGTTTGAACTGTTAGTCATGATCTTAGTTTTCCTTTGTATTTATCCATTCATTCCCATTTAGTCCCACCATTCCTGCAGTGCTTTTTCATCTGCTGCTTTTTTAACAAGGCATCACACCACCTTAAAAGGTTGTTTGATTACCAGGTTGTTTTAAAATGAGGGGACTGGAGAAGAGTAGGTTTTGATTATGGAGCCTTTTTTTTTTAAATTTTTCTAGTCTTATGAAGGCTTTACCGTTTCCTAAAATTTTGCACTCATCAACATGCAATTGTTAATTTTGTGGCCCAAAAATTCAATATCTTGGAACCGATCTCTACTTCAAATGTATTCACAGTTAATCACAGTTTGTTTTATTCTTGCACAGTCAGTTCTCAGTGTGGTTATTTGATCTTCTTCTTTTCTGCGTTCGATATCAGTCATGCTAAACGTTAGTCCCGTCTGGTTCACAAATAGGATTGTGCGTTTAAGGTCGCCACCGAGTCCCATAACTTCTCTTGCAATGTGTTCGTGTCCGTGGGCCAGCAGAACAGTCTTTTCTCCCAGATTTACGGGCAGTACTGCAGTACGTGTTCAGGGGTTTGTCTTTCTGCTCCACAATCAAAGGCAGCATATTCTTTGATGCCTATCCTGTACATGTGTGCTCTAAGCAGTGTCCAGTCCACAGTCTATGAGAATCTGGATGAAGGTTTTTTTCCTGTTGAGTTGTTTATGCTGTCTACTATAATGGTCTGTAACTCTACCATTCTGCCTTCTCCACTAATATTGAAAGACTACTTAGCAGCGCTGTTTTGTTTTTTGATAGCTTTTTATGTTGGTGAGGTTGTGGAAGATTACTCCCAGCTTAACGCCAACTCATCTGCTCTCAACTGTTCCTTGAATACCACAGTGAGCTGGTATCCACTGCAAGACCAATTCTGCTTAGCCAGAAGATATTTCTTGGATCTTCAATATGGAAAAAATTATAGCTAAACATTCTTGTTCTGTCTTGGATTACCTCTCTTCTGCAGGTGTTAGTTTTCTGCTTACATAGTAGATTGGGTGCAATAAATCTCTTTCCATCTGCATTAGGCAACCTGCTACAGCTTTTCCACTGGCGTCAATCAGTCATCAGTTCTCGTTATGCCTAGTGGTACATGAGGCTTCAGAGAGGATTTTCCATGCTTTCCTGTCCTGTGCAATCTTCAGAACAGTTTTTCATGTCAGGGATGATGCACTCAGTTCACTTTCCATGCTGTTTTGGGGGCTCCCTTTTTTCTCTTTCACCTCAGGTGTCCAAGTGTGAGCTGTTTTGGCAGGTAAATCAAGATTCATTCCCAGAATGTGGCCAAGCCATTTCCATCTTCTCTTTGTTATCACACTGATAGAGTTTCTTGGTTTGTGACTTGAAGTAGTTTAGTGTTTGAGATTGTTTCTGGCCAGAAAATTTTGACAATTCTATGTAGACATGTGTGGTGGAAGGTGGATAACTTTTGTGTATCCTTTGTGGTCATTCTACAGCATTCTGCTCCATAATGAAGACCTGGCAAAATGATGCTCTTGTAGAGTCAGAGTTTTGTTCCCCTGCAGTAACTGTTGGATTTCCAGATTTGCCTCATCCTTTCAAAAGTAGCTCTAGCTTTGTTCAAGTGTGATTGTATGTCTTCCTCTGTCCCTCACAGAAGAGACACCACACTGCCAAGATGTGTGAACTGTTCTACATTTTCAAATGTTTGGTTATTTATGGTCACTGGTTTGAACTGTTAGTCATGATCTTAGTTTTCTTTGCATTTATTTTTTAGTCCCTCCATTTCTGCAGTGCTTTGTAGTCTGCTGCTTTTCTCTTGCAGGCATCACACCAGAGGATAAAAGGTTGTTTGAGACCAGATAACTTTAAAATGAGGGGACTGGAGAAGAGAGTTTTGATTATGGAGCCTTTTTTTTCTTTTTTTTAAGTCTTATGAAGGCTACCGTTTCCTACAATTTTTCACTCATCAACATGCAATTGTTAATTTTGTGGCCCAAAATTCAATATCTTGGAACCGATCTCTACTTTAGATGGTTTCACAGTTAATCCAGTTTGTTTTATTCTTGCACAACCAGTTCTCAGTGTGGTTATTTGATCTGAAAAATAATATATAAAAATACACATGTCATCATTGTAAGTAGCTACATCAGGAATGTCTTTTAACAGTAGTCTGGTGAGGCAGACAAAGGTAGCAGGGGCATAAATTAGACCAAAGGGCATGTATCGCCATTCTTATAAAACAAGAGGAGTTGTTAATGTAGTATTGTGCATCGACTCTTGGTTGTAGGCACCTGCCTATAACCTTTTGTCACATCAAGATTTTAAAAAATTCTAGCTTTGCCCATTGCTGGTAGTATGTCCTCAGCATTTGGTATTGGCTCTGCGTCCAGCTCAGTACAGCCATTAATCTTTCTTAAATCCACACAGCTCCAGATAAACCCATAATTTTTCTTTACCTTCGCTATAGGTGAACAGTAGCAAGATTGGAATCTTGCTGTGATGCCAAATTGATCAGATTTTTTGATAGCTTAACGTTTCCTTGTATTGTTCTGGCAGTGGATACGGTTTGACTTTAGTAGGTTTCTTAGTGGTCAGTTATATGTGATGTTTTATTTCTTAACATCTACCTGATATGTCAGAAGAAATTGTCCCAAAATCTTTAAGTAATTTGAGAATTTTAACTCCATGTAGGACTGGTAATTTCTCTGATATCTTAAATTCTTTCCACCAACTGGTTGAGATAGTTATAAGTGTAAGAATATGTTCATCTGTGGGATCATCTTCTGACTCATCAATTAGGCTACAACTTGAGGGTTTGTAAAACTATGATGCCAGCCTCAAATCTCATAGATCAGCACAGATGGATGACCTGGTCAGCATCATATGGCTGCCTTTCCTTCCTAGTATGTTTCCTAATGGCCTTTTTAAACTAGGTTAACTTCAGAAACCGGGTCAGTTTTAAACTAGGCCAACCTGGAAATCTGTGTTACATAGGTCGTTCCTGTGTGGGTTCAGGACCAAATTTTGGGGAAGACAAGAATAGAGCACTGCCTCCATAACAAGCATGTCATAAGTGTAAAATAACTGGCCGCTTCCTTCAAAGTCAGAGAACATCTGCCTGAGAGGCATGGAAACAGCAGTCTGCATGCAAATAAGTTGATCTGTAAAATGGATGTGCACACAACCCTAAGGTTCTGGAACCTGATGAAGAAGTCCAGAAGTGCGGACAACCAGAACCTTCCGCCGGAGTTTAACACTGGTGAACGGGAAGGTCAGTTTTAAATTAGGTTAATTTGGGCAACTGGGTCAAGTTTTAAAAGTCCTCCACCTGGGTAAGGATTTAAAGCACAAACAGGCAAACATGCTTGACACTGCACTGTCTGAAATGTCCCAAGAATAACGTTTGTGTAATTGATAACTGAAGTGCTGAGGTTGAGGGTGAGTCCATGTTTGATGTACAGGACACACCAGCAGCATCAGGTCCCTACACACCATGGACACAGAGAACTGTTTCATCTCTGCCTGCAAGGACAAGACTGTCAGACTGTGGTCTATCAACAGTAACGGGGATGGCATGAACAAGTAAGTCTGTATGTCTCTCTTGTATCTGCCTGCAAGGACAAGACTGTCAGAATGTGGTCTATCAACAGTAATGGTGATGCATGAACAAGTATGTCTGCTGAATGTCTGTCTTTTATCTGCCTGCAAAGACAAGACCATCAGACTGTGGTCTATCAACAGTAATGGGGATGGCATGAAACTAATATGTCTGTCTGTATGTCTGTCTTATATCTGCTTGCAAGGAAAAGACAGTGTAACTTCTCTATGTGTGCTCTGTCTATTTGCCTGTGATGTATATGTGTCTGATGGATATGTTTCAAAGACTATTATTATACATCAGTAGTTGAAGAAATAGAATGTTATTTTTGTGTGTGGTTACCAGACCCCTTTCCACACTCTTACCCACCCCCCCCCCTCCCTCCCCCTTTATTTTCTGTCTGTATGATCACCTTTACTATTTGTTCCTTTATTGTGTTTTTTCTCTTTTAATGAACAGACTGTCCTAATGGGTCCTGTCTGTCTCCATCATTCTTTGTGTATATGTTCAACAAATAACAAGAACAGTCACAGAAACAGGGGAGATCACTGGAAGAAACCATCTCTTATATAAATTACCATTGCATGGCCTCCATTGATCATTGATGTCTTTTGTAATTGATGATTGAATGAATGAATCTTCTTGCTATGTTTGCAGACAGCACTGCCAGTTCTGCTACTCCCGTCACAAGAAGTCTGTATTCTCAGTTGTTTATGTAGAAAGTATGAGGCTGGTGGCATCTTGTGACAGTACAGTGCATGTGAGTGCTGGGACCTCTTCTCTTGTCTGCTTTATCCTGGTCTATTTTGTATATTACCGACATGTTATTTAAAGCACAAGGCTTCAGCAGAATGTTTTCCAATACCTGTAACACTTGGCATCAAGACAACAAATGTTGACATTTGAAAATCAACACTACAGCGCTCTGGACATTCCATAGGTGCTCTGTCCCCACCTTCAGGAGCAAGTGCAGAGTTCCAAATCCGATGGCACTAGTAATAGTGTGATTGTTTATCCCTCTCACCTTTCCCTTGAGTGTGGAGCCTTGGCCAGACCCTCATAAGACAACAAATGAGATGGACTCATGTTTTAGCAGCTAAATTCACAACATTTTGTTTGTCACTTCCATCTTGACGTTCACAACAAAAATTCATCACAGCATACATTTCAATCTTGCAACTGAGAGCAGACGTCCTTGCTTGAAGCTGCTTCATCATTCCATCAACAGCAGCCTGTGATTTTTTCATTTTGTTAACCTTCTGCTATTAGCCTTAAGGGTTTTATAGGTGATTTAGAGATATTTGTCATATCAAGAGCCACGACGGATTGGAAAAAATAATAATAATGACTGACATGAAGATGGGCACAGAATATAAGTGACTCCTTGAGAATGAAAGTTCATGAGGCGGGAGAGCTGGCGAGAGACCGAGTTTCTTTCAGGCAGACTGATGAGAGCGACGTTTTGCAAGGACCTGCTACATGATGATGATTCAGAGGTAGTGAGTGCAGTTTCCTAACCCCAGCTATCCTAGGCTTCAGTTCAGCTACATATGTGTTTGTACTTGACTGCTTTGCACCCATTTAAAAAAGTACATAGCAATGGCAAACTGTTGAACATAAAATGACCTAGTTAAACCATAAGCAACCAATAAATAGTGGCACTTGTGCTGGATATGCAACTGACTTTTTATTAGTATAAATAATAGTATATGGTAAAACATCAACTCTTTTACAAATCATACTAGAGATAAAAGTTGGAGGCAGGGGAGCAAGAGGTAGACAATGATACAGGTGGGAGAACAGCATCAAGAGATGGACAAACAGCAGTCTGAGAGAATGTTAAACCAAGACAAGAGACAGAGAGTGTTGGAGATCCATTGCTGCCAGCCTTCAGCGTGCAGATGGCACATGATCTATAAATGAATATATGAGATAATTCCCTAAAGCTGTTAATAGCAAACTTATGGTGTTTAGCACAATATTGGAGCTGGGTGGAAACTCATGGATTGAAAGGGCTGACGTTTGTGGTTTTGTTTTGTGGGTAATTTGTGTGTTAAGTTTTTATTTTTTGTAAAAAAAAAATAACAAAAAAATGCTAATACAGCTGTCTTGGTGTCCCATGCAGTTATGGGATCCATTCACAGGTGTTGCCATGAACCAGCTGGAGTCCCCCAAACATGCACCTGTGGTTGCTCTCACTGCACTGCCTGCACCTTCTACTCTGGTTGTCATGGCAACTACAGAAGCCACGCTGAGGTAATGCCAGTGTCCTGTTGTGTTCCTTTTCCATGTTTTATTTTTAACTTCTGTACCGAGATTGTCTGTTGTTGTCTGTTGATTGCTTATTTATGTCTGGAGAACAAGTTGGTGTCTGAAGATTGCCTGTTTTTATCTGGAGAATTCATGTTGATGTCTGAAGACTGCCTGTTTATGTATGGAGAACATGTTTATGTCTGAAGATTGCCTGTTTATTTCTGAAAAATACATGTGTTGAAGTTTGCCTGTTTATGACTGGGGAAATGTTGATGTCTGAAGACTGCCTGTTTATATCTGGATGATTCCTGTGCTAAAGATTGCCTGTTTATGTGAGGAAACTTCATGCTGATATCTTTAGATTAACAGACACAGAGATTTCTACAGCTTTAAAGATTTTTGTCTAAAGAAGATAACAGTTTATAGCACATTCTCTTGTGATGGTCCCCTGACTAGCAACCCCAGGATGGGAGAGCACAGGGAGATCCAAGACCTGTTCACAAAAGAGTCAACAAAGGCCATGTGAAACCTTCCCTGTAATCCACAGGGAGATCCAAGATCTGTTCACAAAACAATCAACCAAGGCCATGAGAAACCTTCCCTGTAATCCACAGGGTGATTCAAGACCCGTTCACAAAACAATCAACCAAGGCCATGAGAAACCTTCCCTGTAATCCACAGGGTGATTCAAGATCTGTTCACAAAACATTCAACCAAGGCCATGAGAAACCTTCCCTGTAATCTACAGTCCCAGAAACATGGATTGCTGAAGTTTATGGTTTATTCAGCATAAGTGTCTTTGTGAGAATTATTGATTGAAGTTTACAGTTTATTGAGTATGTATATGTGTCTGTAAGAGAATTGTTGATTGATGATTACAGTTTATTGAGCATGTGTGTCTCTGTAGGAGAATTGTTGATGGAAGTGTACAGTTTATTGAGCATGTGTGTCTGTAGGAGAATTGTTGATGGAAGTGTACAGTTTATTGAGCATGTGTGTCTGTAGGAGAATTGTTGATTGAAGTTTACAGTTGATTGAGCATATGTGTCTGTGTAACAAATATTGATTGATTTTTGAAAGAAAAATGCACATCCTTTTGCAGATTTTTGGATCTGAGAACATCCAAGTACACTCATGAGTTTCGCTGTTCTGTTGGCAGTCCAGGTAAGAGCTACTGTGTTGTTTTACCTGGTGCCTTTTTTCTTTGAGGCCACAAGATTCTGATTATGCTTCACATTGCAGGGAACAGGGTAGAACACTGACACCATCACAGATTTGATTTTTTTTTTTCAAACTGGGAGTAACGACTGTCAAACATTTTCACAGCTGTCTTCTGTTTGGAATAATGACTGTCAAACATTTTCACAGCTGTCTTCTCTTTAGAATAATGACTGTCAAACATTTTCACAGCTGTCTTTTCCTGGGAATAACAACTGTTAAACATTGTCACTGCTGTCTTTCTTTTAGGAAACATTGTCATTGCTGTCTTTTCCTGGGAATAACAACTGTTAAACATTGTCACTGCTGTCTTCTCTTAGGAAAATGGACTTTTGACAATTGTCACGGCTATCTTCTCTTAGGAAAAACTACTGTTGAACATTGTCACAGCTGTCTTCTCCTGGGAATAACGACTGTTGAACATTGGCACAGCTGTCTTCTCTTGGGAATAATGACTGTTGAACATTGTCACTGCTCTTTTTTCCTGGGAATAACGACTGTTGAACATTGGGGATGCTGTCTTCTCTTTGGAGTAATGGCTGTTGAACATTGTCAGTGCTGTCTTTTCCTGGGAATAACAACTGTTGAACATTGTCACTGCTGTCTTCTCTTGGGAGTAAAGGCTGTTAAACATGAACATTGTCATGGATGTCTTCTCTTGGGAATAACAACTGTTGTCTTCTCCTGGGAATAACAACTGTTGAACATTGTCACAGCTGTCTTCTCTTGGGAATAACAAGTGTTGAACATTGTCACTACTGTCTTCTCCTGGGAATAACAACTGTTGAACATTGTCACAGCTGTCTTCTCCTGGTAATAATGACTGTTGAACATTGTCACAGCTGTCTTCTCCTCTGGTAATAATGACTGTTGAACATTGTCACAGCTGTCTTCTCCTGGTAATAACGACTGTTGAACATTGTCACAGCTGTCTTTTCCTGGGATAACGACCGTTGAACATTTTCACAGCTGTCTTCTCTTGGGAATAACAATTGCCTGACATTATAATTGTTTTCAGTGACCTTGGTACAGGACATGGTGAAAGTACTGTTGTTTTTTAATTGGATAACATGCCATTGACTGATGATATCTCAGTGATTATAAACTTAAAAATTTCTCAAATAGTTGTCTAAACAAAAATGACTAATTTATCAATGTATGGCTGCAAGGAGTTACCAGGGTAGCTTGCTGATGCTTAACACTCAGGGGAAAGTGAGACGGATATACAATGAGACAGTTACTGGTGCTATCAGAATTGGAACTGCTGGCTGCTGAAAATGGGAATGGAGCACTTATGGGAATGTCATGAGTGCTATCATGTAGATTCTTAATTCAATATTCAAATGTATAGCTAACACTAGTCAGTGTTTAATACTTTTTAAAAAAAACCATGCTAGCAAACATAAACTGAACAGAATGCTTTGCTGTTATTATTGATGCTGTATTTGACAGTTTAACCTCTGGTTGTCAATACCGGACATGCAGGAAACAATCAAAACAGTTTCTGGAAGTCTCCAAGATATGATGGTACAGTAGAATGTTTACAATTCCTTGGACAACCACATTAAGTAGTCTAGATATTGTTAAAGAGGTGAGGGCTGGGAGATAACTTATCACTATCATCTGAGGAAAGACACTGGAATAGGTTTTGACCTGTGGAAAGATTTCTGGAAAGATTTATTGAGAATAACAACTTGAGAAGATTCTTGAAAGTGTTTTGTCCTGGCATGAATGGGTGCCAACACATGCTATTGGAAGTAGCAAGTTGTGTAAGAAGCATGATCACCTATGCCAGTCACCAAGGCACTTGATGATGATGATGATGATTTGTGATTGTTGTTAAACTGAAGATTATAAAGGTCAGTGTTATGTTTCCGCCAGGTTTGATTCGCTGTGTAGTCGTCAGTCCAGACAGTAACTGGGTCGCCATCGGATTCTCCACTGGTCTAATTTACATACTGGATGTCAACAGTGGGATGTTCTTGCATTACTGGAAGGCACATGATGCCGAAATTTTACAGGTATCTGTGTACACACATGTGATGTCATTACTTTAATGACAGGTATCTGTGTACAGAACTGTGGTGTCATTACTTCAATGTCAGGTATCTGTGTACAGAACTGTGATGTCATTACTTGAATGATAGGTATGTGTACAGAAATGTGATGTCATTACTTGAATGTCAGGTATCTGTGTACAGAGATGTGATGTCATTACTTGAATGACAGGTATCTGTGTACAGAAATGTGGTGTCATTACTTGAATGTCAGGTATCTGTACAGAAATGTGATGTCATTACTTAAATGACAGGTATCTGTGTACAGAAATGTGATGCGATTACTTTAATGACAGGTATCTGTGTACAGAACTGTGGTGTCATTACTTCAATGTCAGGTATCTGTGTACAGAGATGTGATGTCATTACTTGAATGATAGGTATCTGTGTACAGAAATGTGATGTCATTACTTGAATGTCAGGTATCTGTGTACAGAGATGTGATGTCATTACTTGAATGACAGGTATCTGTGTACAGAAATGTGGTGTCATTACTTGAATGTCAGGTATCTGTACAGAAATGTGATGTCATTACTTAAATGACAGGTATCTGTGTACAGAAATGTGATGCGATTACTTTAATGACAGGTATCTGTGTACAGAAATGTGGTGTCATTACTTAAATTTCAGGTATCTGTGTACAGAAATGTGATGTCATTACTTAAATGACAGGTATCTGTATACAGAAATTTGGTGTCATTACTTAAATGTCAGGTATCTGTGTACAGAAATTTGGTGTCATTACTTAAATGTCAGGTATCTGTGTACAGAAATGTGGTGTCATTACTTGAATGATAGGTATCTGTGTACAGAAATGTGATGTCATTACTTGAATGTCAGGTATCTGTGTACAGAAATTTGGTGTCATTACTTAAATGTCAGGTATCTGTGTACAGAAATGTGGTGTCATTACTTGAATGATAGGTATCTGTGTACAGAAATGTGATGTCATTACTTGAATGTCAGGTATCTGTGTACAGAAATGTGGTGTCATTACTTTAATGACAGGTATCTGTGTACAGAAATGTGATGTCATTACTTAAATGACAGGTATCTGTGTACAGAAATGTGGTGTCATTACTTGAATGTCAGGTATCTGTGTACAGAAATGTGGTGTCATTACTTAAATGTCAGGTATCTGTGTACAGAAATGTGGTGTCATTACTTAAATGACAGGTATCTGTGTACAGAAATTTGGTGTCGTTACTTAAATGACAGGTATCTGTGTACAGAAATGTGGTGTCATTACTTAAATGTCAGATATCTTTGTACACCCCACCCTCACTGTTTCTTTGTGTCACTGCTTCCTGGCTAGAACAACCCTGCATTGTGATAAGCAGTTGGAAAAGATCAAAGATAGACACAGGTAATAAGTTTAATTGAAGCCCTGGGTTTATGGATGAAGTGTTTTCATTCTTGTGTTTGATATACTGAAAGGGTCACATTTCCTGGGAACATCAACAGTCACACAGAAGTTTCAGAGAGACTAACAGTGAACAGAAACTGATTACAGAAATTAAAACGAGACAAATGAAATATTTCAGCCACATTGAAAGAGATGACACTGTTTTCAAAACCATACAAGGAAGAAAAGTACATTGAAAGAGATGACATTGTTATCAAAACCATACAAGAGAGAACATTTTAGACTTGCAAGAATGAAAACAACAGTGGCCTGATACTAAAAGACACAACAGTAATAAGAGAGTATATTTTGTAGTTTATAGAGCAATTTTGTCAGTTGTCATAAAATATTCACTTTCTCTGTCTTTGTGTGGAACCAGCTCAAGGCCTACAACAAGTCACGTCTGCTGTCTTCGGCTTTTGATCAGACAATCAAACTGTGGAATGTAGACACTGGACAGGAGGTGTGTCCCAGCAAATCTCAAGCTGAGTCAGTTCACTGTCTGTCCATCTACAGAGACCAGCTGCTGACCGCAACCACCGCCAACAGGATCTCTGTCTATGCTTCTGTTAATGACAGTGTAAGTGTTTTCTTCTCTCAGAGTGGTCTGCTCTTGATTGTCCTCATAGTCGTCATCCAGAAGGGTTTATTTTTTTTAAGGCTATAAAGTTAATTATGTATCCTTTACAGGCAGAACCAACCCCAGCATTGATTTGGCTGTTCATGATTTTATGTTTGTCACTTCTTTCTGAACGGCTTGCTCTCAATACCATTGTCAAAACAATGCAAGGCAGTCTGCACAAACGCCTGTCGCTAGGATCAAACCCAGTATCTCGGAATTACAAACCGCATTTGCAATGCCTAAGCCATAGATGCCAATTTGTGTGGGCAGTTAGTAAGTTGCGTATCCTTTACAGAATGTTGTAGAAGCAACCCCAGCATTTTGTGTCTGTTGTGGTTTATTTAGGCAAATTTACATCCAATAGTTTGCCATTGTTTTAGGGACGGTCGGCTTCTTGATACCACTGTTGGAACCAACGAAAGGCACAAGGCCTGCAGTTGGGACAAACCCGGCATTATGAAGCGCATTCGCAACGCCTATGCCGCGGATGCCAACTTTGTAGGCAGTACAGTCACTTAAATGCATCAAGTGTACAACAAGTATCTGATGTTTGTGGACAGTACAGTCACTTAAATGCATCAAGTGTACAACAAGTATCTGGTGTTTGTGGGCAGTACAGTCACTTAAATGCATCAAGTGTACAACAAGTATCTGATGTTGATTTGAGTTGAAAAAAGTCAATCTTACACAGCCAGTTTTGACTTTGAGTTGAATAAGGTCAATCTTACACAGCCAGTTTTGACTTTGAGTTGAATATGGTCAGTCTTACATGGCCAGTTTTGACTTTGAGTTGAATTTGGTCAGTCTTACACAGCCAGTTTTGACTTTGAGTTGAATATGGTCAATCTTACATAGCCAGTTTTGACTTTGAGTTGAATAAAGTTAATCTTACACAGCCAGTTTTGATTTTAGACTTTACTATTGTAAAAAGGACCATTTTCATTGCCATTGGTTGTATCGGGCATAAAGTGCTAGACATGTTTTTAAGATCAGTCGGCATTCTGTCAGGGAATGTGGTCAACATCCTGCTAGCTGCCATTACTTCCCATGAATTTACCTGGTATCCGTTTAAAGTTGGGTCAACCTTTGAGCCAAGGTCAGGTTTGAACAATAGCCCATTTACATTGTGGCAAGAAATACCACAGTGGGCGGACAACATCTAAAGTACTACAGGAAAATGTATGAATGTATCTTGAAGTCAAGCTTGAACTCTTTAACTCCTGGAGGCCCAAAAATCAGCACTTGCGGTAGGTTCCAGTTCCCTGAGAGTGCTGCTAGGGGATGAATTCCATTTCATTATTAACTCATTAATTACTGTTTTCATTAATTACTCCCCTTGTATATTTTTATATATTTAGAAGTTGTAAAGATGCGAACAAATAAAAACATTTTTTAAACTATTATTAGTGACCTGTCTAAAGTGTTTGTGCGAATTCTCATGGTTTGATGAGTTGTTAGCGTTCCTGGGGCAGAAGAATAATTCAGAGATAATTGGTTTCAGTCAGATCTTAGATCATGTCTTGCTTCACTCCAGGTGTCTGATCCACTGTTTGTTGTTGGGTGTTAGGCAAGTTTTGGGGCATAGCGGCTAGATGCTCCACTTCCTGTCAGAAGGTCTTTTGGTTTAAATCCGCATCTTTTTTAAATTTAATTTTACTTTATCTCCTAGGTTGATCTAGCCTTAAATGAGTACTAGGTCATATCTTTGAGGTAATGGGGAAGTAAAGGCAGCCACCCTGATGTTGACCAGATCAGCCCCAGATTGGTCAATAAAATCTAAGTCTAGCATCATATGTCCAACACGTTACCTGTTAAATAAGGTCATTGCTTGACCTATATATTATAGGCTATATATATATATATATATATATATATATATATATATATATATATATATATATATATATATATATATATATATATATATATATATATATATATATATACGCCTGTTTTTTGCTCATGTTTTACTTACGCCTGTCTGCGAATGTTCTATATATGCATGTCTGTGTTAATGAGAGATGATACAGGTGTGCCAGTTCCTGATCTGGTTGGGAAGCTTGCTCGTTCAACAACCTCATACCTTTAGCCACAAACAACTTATCACAGGTTCTGACAACCTTATAATTCAACCACAAACAATTTATCACAAGTAATAGCTTTATATCAAACTTCCAAGACCTACAACAGATTGCAACGAACCGCCATGCATGGAGAGTCATGACCTCTGCACTATGTGCCGCACTCGACACAAGAGGAAAGACTAACTAACTAACTAACTAATAGCTTTATATCAGCTTTCTAATATCTTCTTGTTTGTTTCTCCACAGACTCCGTTTGCTAGCTCCAAACTGAAGTCATTTAAAGGTGTTGTCACCTGCATATCAGTGCTGCCTCTCAACAAAACCCTGCTGCTGGGAGCCGACAATGGAACAATCCGACTCATGGCCTAGACACGCAACAAGAACATTCCGACTCATGGACTAGACATGCAACAAGAACATTCTGACTCAAGGCCTAGACACAAAACAAGAACATTCTGACTGATGGCCTAGACACAGAACAAGAATATTCTGACTCAAGGCCTAGACACAGAACAAGAACAGTCTGACTCAATGCCTAGTCACAGAACAAGAACAATCCCACTCATGGCCTAGACACAGAACAAGAACAATCTGACTCATGGCCTAGACACAGAACAAGAACAGTCTGACTCATGACCTAGACACAGAACATGACTGACAAATTGTTGGTGCTATAGAACATGGATTGTTGATGTTATAGAATATCAGAGACATGTGGATTGTTGGTGTTATAAAATATCAGACACAGGGATTGTTGGTTTTACAGAAATCAGACACATGGATTGCTGGTGTTTTTCTTTAGACATTGAGACAGAAAAGCTGTATACAGGAAAGCTGTGAACTGCTATAATTATTACATAATTATCATTAATCTATTAACCTGTTCACCAAACTAGTCAGGCTGTCTGTCCATTGTGTCATTGCCACAAACAAGACAGTTGTTGGCTGTGTCTTCATTCTGTCAGTATTGAGATGCTTGGGGCCATCTGTTTTTGCTTGTTATATTCTTCATGTAATGTTGTGTTAATTTAACTGGCTTTGTGGATTGAATTGTCTGCAAACGTATTTCCTGTCGATCAGGGTTGACTGACTCAGTGACAGTGAATGAAGGGATTTTGGAAACGTATCTATTGATCATACAGAGTCAAGATGTTGGCTTGTAATATATGTATCTATGACAAGGATAATAATATTTACATGTGACTGTGATTATTCTAGAAGCACCATCATCATTATCACTATAAGGGTAGCAAGTTTGTGGTGGTTTGGGGCTTAACTCTTCTTGAGTTCTGGGACAGATCCAGGTTACCAGGGTTTTGACATTCTCATGACATTTCCTGTATAAATATTATACAGTTATGGGAAAAGAATGTAATTTTGTCCTAATCTTGTTTACACCTAAACCAGTGGGTTTTACAAGTTTCTGTGACCACTGCTTGTTGTTTGAATTGTTAATTATATTGCATTTATTTTCGTTTAGTACTCTTGTTGATCTCAAAGAACCTATAAAGTATAAGCCCTTACAGTTTTAATATGCGGTCATTTGCTGAATTTGTGTGGATGTTAGAATTTGCTCATAGCTTTCGTAAAGGATAATCTAAAATTAACTTTATTGTTAATTGTGTAGGTATTACCTTCATATCCAATGGTATTGCTGTAAATATTTTTATGTGCTGGAATTAATGTAATATTAGCATACACAGTAGTTAGTGTGTAAGATTCACATTTCACAACTTGTATTATACAAAGAATAAATGAAATTATAGTAAAACTAATCAAACATTGCCATATGTCTGTAGTTGATGTAATACGTTATGTATTGTCTCAGAAGTTATTGATGTGATAAAACTAATCAAACATTGCCATATGTCTGTAGTTGATGTAATACGTTATGTATTGTCTCAGAAGTTATTGATGTGATAAAACTAATCAAACATTGCCATATGTCTGTAGTTGATGTAATACGTTATGTATTGTCTCAGAAGTTATTGATGTGATAAAACTAATCAAACATTGCCATATGTCTGTAGTTGATGTAATACGTTATGTATTGTCTCAGAAGTTATTGATGTGATAAAACTAATCAAACATTGCCATATGTCTGTAGTTGATGTAATAAGTTGTGTATTGTCTCAGAAGTTATTGATGTGATAAAACTAATATGAAATTTAAGTATTCCTGTTGATGTTTTGATTATGTCAATCCAGTCAAACCCACTCCCTACTCTGGTACCCATATTTGTTAGCTCTGTAAAGTTTAAAACCTTCTTTTTCCTTAATAATAGAAAAATCTGTGGGCATTGGCTGGGAAAGCATCCAAAAGTACACAGTATTGGTGTCATAGCCTTTAATGCTCTGCACCACTTTACCACCTCTGATTTGTGTCTTCTTCTTTTCACGATGTCTATGAAAAATGTACTGGGTCCTCCCACTATATTTTGTCTGAGGGTGTTATGGAGGTTCGCCTTTTTTTTTTTTAACAACACAGAGAAAAAAAGGGATAGTTTGGAATAAATGTTTGAGACAAACGCGGGGCACAGAAATAGCAGCATAAAGGTCAGACTGTTTGGCTAAAACTTCTATAAAAGGGACGATATCTTTGTTAATCTGCTATCTGAGAAAGTCTTATAAACTAATAATTGTTTTTTTAGGTCCATACTTTTTTGGCGCTTGGTTTATTCCTGGTCACTGATATTACTATTCTTCAAAGAGGAGAAAATGCAGAGCATGGAGGTAGAGTCAGTTCATCTAACTGACTAATCTTTTTGATGTATTCATAACAGAAAACCCCCTTGGTCTCTTCAAAATCATAATCTGCTAAGTATTTGCTATCACTAAACCCAATAGCGAGATAGATGGAGATTTCTAGCAACTTGAAGTTATCAGTAGACAGACAAAGTTGTTTCTTTTGATGACAAAGTTGAAAGGAAGCTCCGATTTTTACAGAAGAATGCTGAATGAGAAAAGATTTGTTAAAATTCAGTTACTAGAATTGAAACCAGAAGTTCATGGAAGTAGGGCTGTAACTTTTTAATCAATTTATCCTCACTTTACGCTTGTCGCGAGCCCACATGGGTAAATACACTGATATAGTGAGGGTGTGGGTTTGAACCTTAACAGTGCCCACCCACGTGAGAAAATGGACTATCTATCTAGGCTATGGTGATCCTAGACGGTCCTGGATAGCCAAGAAAACAGCGAATGGCTCGTTCCATTAAATGAAAATTGCTGTACTTGTATCCACAGGAGTAGGAGAAGGGATAGATAGATATCAGGATAAACCCACTTTGATATTATCAAGATACACAGTTAACCCCTCAGACTTTCTCCTCTCCTGGCATTACTTAAAAGACCCCATCAAGTGATTTAAATATTTGTCAGCTGAAGTAAACTAGTATGCACAAAGACACTTGAACCTAAGTACACAATTTACTCAACTATTTTGTAACATGAACAAGATTTATTGAATAAATCTAACCAAAAATAACACGAACAGGTTTATGCTAGTAGAGTGAAGATGGTGTTATTGATGGAATTATTATACTTAACTCCTAGTTGGAGAATATAAACCTTGGACATTTCTCAGCTTGAGACCCTGCCTATTGTTTTCCAGTTTGTCGTCCTCACTGCTTCAGGCAGGTCGTTACACTCGACGGTAGGCAAAGAATGGATGCCTACTAGTCCCTGCCCAATGTGGGAACTGTGATAAAGAAACAAGAGCATATGTGTAGTATCTAATCTAGATGTACACTAAGCATGTATATTATAATAACATCAAACATGTTTATTTAAATAAAACATTTCATCTCTCCCTCATTTTCATATTCACTTCTGTCCAGTTTGAAAGTGCTTATGTCTCATATTCAAGCTGTTAAATTTCCTGCCTTCCTCTACTCACGTCCTGTAATGATAGTTAAGTCTTCTACGTCAGGTGCCATCTCTCGTACAGACTCTTAATGACAATCAGTTAGACAGAACAAGTTCTGGAATCAATGCTTGGAACAATGGACGCGCCCAGAATGCTAACAATATTTCTGGGGCGAATCAAATAACAAATCTCAAGGATTTACTCTCCGGGATCAATCTCCGCATTAGCCTCCCTGGAGTTAAACACATTTCAGTGTGTTAGCTGTACGTAATACAGGCTTAAATTAATCACACGTGAAAAGACTGCCACAGTTATCTTCACGCTTGTGATTTCAGACAAATGATAGTTCATTAAATTTCAGTGGTAACGTCAACATTTAACTGGTGGACTGATAGAGTTGGCACCTCATACCATTTGATGAGCCAGGTGTAAGTGAATGACGCATCAGCAGTCATCAGTGTCCACCAAACACCAACTTCGGGATCTCCGTGGCGCAGTGGTCAAGCCGTTTGCCTAGCGCTCTTGAGGTCATGGGTTCGTTTCATGACTGCGCCGTTCAGTTCACGAGTGCAGTTTTTACGGAGATTCCTGGGAGTCGTCGCCGAAGCAACGGAGTTCGTTTTTTATGTGACGTTCTCGTTGGCGGCTAGTTGCTGGTATGCGGAGAGACCTAGACAAGTGTAAAGGTGTCCTTTACTTTTTACATCTATTTTTAACCAGCGATTGGTAAGTACATGATAGGGAGTCGAGTACAGAGACACTGGACAAGACAACAGGTAGGATACATGATAGGGAGTCGAGTACAGAGACACTGGACAAGACAACAGGTAGGATACATGATAGGGAGTGAAGGCGAGTACAGAGACACTGGACAAGACAACAGGTAGGATACATGACAGGGAGTGAAGTCGAGTACAGAGACACTGGACAAGACAACAGGTAGGATACATGACAGGGAGTGAAGTCGAGTACAGAGACACTGGACAAGACAACAGGTAGGATACATGACAGAGAGTGAAGTCGAGTACAGAGACACTGGTCAAGACAACAGGTAGGATACATGATAGGGAGTCGAGTACAGAGACACTGGACAAGACAACAGGTAGGATACATGATAGGGAGTCGAGTACAGAGACACTGGTCAAGACAACAGGTAGGATACATGATAGGGAGTCGAGTACAGAGACACTGGTCAAGACAATAGGAAGGATGCTATTTCTGACCACGTATTACATGTAGCATCCTCGCCCTTTCGCTTCTGGGAGAGACGTTGGCTTTTTCCCGTTGAGTGCAGTAATGTCGTTTCTTCGACAAATAAAGCCAGATCTGTAAAACGGATCTCAGGCAAAACTGAAGTGCTGTAACAAGACTGAAGTCCAGAAGTGGACGAACAACTAAAACTTTCCACTGGAATTGAGAGCCCGTGAAGTCGGAGAAGACGTTTCTTTAACAAATCTCAAGAAGAAATTCACCGTGGCTCTGCAATCCTCTTCGCCATCTGA